TTCGTGCAGGGACTTAAGAAGCAGCTCGTCTGTCAGCTAAGGTCCTTCAGTTATATCAGGAGAAGGAATTTCACATGCTTTGGCAGCAGTGCCAAAAAGGTAACGGTGCGCTTGCCCAGTTCTCGCCAAGGTAACGCTGGCCAAGAGCAGCCTTGGGTGGCATCCCGCAGGGGCACAGTCTGCGCTGAAAAAAAAAAGCTGCTGTTGCTGAGACGTTTGCAGGTGTGGTGCCCTATGCTTGTCGAAACCTACTGAGCATATTTGTTTGATTTTTTTAATAGGTCGAAGGACAGTTTGCTAGCTTTTGCCAAAAAAAAAAAAAAGCGCGCAGGGAGTTTAAACACATGATGGCAGAATCACAGTTAGAATTTCTTCACATTTAGTCTTTGCGTCCATCACTGATAGCAGTGTTTGTGGAGAGCTACCTTTTCGTTTTTCAGTTTAAGAGGGGTAGCTCAGGAGGCTGGTTAATGTGCTACCTGTATTGTGAACTTCTTTTATCTTTTCTTTTGAGGCTGGAGACATGTATTGGTTAAGTGCATGAAACTCTTAGTTTTCAGCTTTTACTGTATCAGAATTGCCCCAATAAAGATAAGAGGAAATCAAGGGACTTAGATCGTGTTTATTAAAAAGCAGTCAGGTACTTGTGTTATAATTGATTTAAAGGATAAAAAAATGATACATTGATCTGAGAGATATTACTGGCACAAAGTTGTTATTTTTAGATACATTTAGATAAGTTTTTAGATATGTTTAACAAGGACTGGGAGGAGGAAATGGGAAGAGCACTTAGACATTAGATTGGTTTTAGTGGTTCTGTAAAGCTCTATATTCAGGCTTGTGGTAGATTTCTTTTTCTTTGAATGCTGTGAATTTTGTGTTTCCTGTTCTCTCAGGACAGTTCTCTGGTAAGACCTTTTTGAATGCAGTGACACTAGAATACCCAGGGCAGTTAGCATCTTCCACAGGTGGATGTTCCAGGGCATTTCGAAGTGTCAGGAGCTGGTTGTCCAGAGCGTGCTGCAGCCAAGTGCGGGGCCCGTGCCTGCCCTCTTGCACTGTGGCACAGACATCACTTTGCCCAGTTGTCTACATTAACTGGCACAATGAGTCGAATCGGTGCAGATGTGAGAGTGTTGCAGAACAAACTGTGGGGCAGTGTATTTTGAGTACACAAAGGAAAAAGTGAATGTGGGCAATGTGGGCTTGCCTGACCCCTGCATAAGGAGGATCTGAAAGCCACTGGAAGTCATAGCTGCTCTCAGTGGTCTGGCTTGGCTTTAGTGCTGGCATGTAGGAGACAACTGAACCTTTGCGATGCTGCATTTGTGCTACTGGGAAGGCAGTTGCTACAGAACCAGCAGGGGTACGAAGTGAACGATATGTATTTTCTGAAAGCTTTGTGTTTTCTTTTTGGCATGTGTGGTGTAGGCACAATGTAAATCTCTAACCTCAGTTTTGAAATGTTGTCCATAAGACCTCTGGGCTAACAAGTGTTTCTTTCTCTGTGTGGTTCATGGAGGAGATGGATGGGTTACAACACTCAAACGGGAGGCCTCCTAAGTTTGGTCTGGGAGCTGCCTGCACTTAGTTTCAGGAGCTCAGGTGATGAGACTGCTAAGGATCGGGACAGTGACAGTTGTGTTTGTATGTACTGGAAAAGGAAATGATAGAAGGGGGATGATTGTTTAACTCCAGATCTACTGCTCATGACTTAGGTATCACAATGCTGGGATGCTTTGTGCAGTAAGTGTCCATCCTGAGATCCTACATCGTTGTTCTGGAAACAGACTACCTGGTGGAAAGATGGGGCTATTTTCTTATAAGCTGTATTTTTTCTTGTAGTTTTGTCTTTACTCTGAGCTGATAAGCTGGGTATGTTATGGAAGAAAGAACGGCTTATCTCAGCTGTGTGTGGCTGTGTTGCATGTAAGATATAAATAATGTATTCTGCCCAGGGGAGAGCAAGTGAAAGTATCAGAAATGGTAAATGCTGCATTTCAACAACGAAGTAGCAAAGAAAGGAGGCCTTCTTGTCTGCGTGTGATGCACAGCGAGAATTTAAGGGAGAAGGTGGAGGTGCTGGTTTCTACAGAAAGAGAAATACTAGATTGAGGGGAAAAAAGTAGGTTTTGGCATTTTTGTTTTAGTAAAGCATTTTTGTATTCTATATCTACGAGGAGTAGCAAAGTGGATGGAGCTTGCATGGTCATCTGCCTTTGTAGTCCTGCCTTGTGCATGTCAGGTGTGGACATGGCACAATGAAGAAGTAACATGTTAAATATCTTCTCAGTCAGTTAGAGCGTGATGCTGATAACACCAAGGTGGCGAGTTCGATCCCCGTTCAGTCCCCATGTGTTGCCTGATCTAGTTGAGAGGCGTCCCTGCCCATGACAGGGAGGTTGGATTAAATGGTCTCTAAGGTCCCTTCCAGCCTAGGCCATTCTGTGATTCTATGATTCTGTTTGTCCATGTTCCCAATATTGCAGCAACACTAAAGCAAGCAGTGAGAAATTCGGAGGAGGGAGGCAAATTAGCCTTTGCCAAAACATGCTTCTTATGAGGATTTGGATTTTTCGTCTGAAAAGGGAGACTGGAACAACCTTTCAGGTTTTCTGTGTGCTTGTTACTTTGTTGGTTGTGTTGAAAGTCTTGGTTATTCTGGGGGTTTGTTGCTTCAGAATTTGTTATTGTACATTCTCCAGGGCATTGGTGGTTTGATTTTGTTTTTTTTTTTAATGTATCTGTCTGTGTTGGAAACACTGACTTTTCAGGTCGTTCAGAGATTTTCTTTGAAAATAGTGATGTCCTAGTCTATTATTATTGCCTGGTAGTGATCCAGTTGGCAGTTTTCTTTCTTCTCTAATCTCTGTTATTTTAACTTTATGCTCTTCTTCCTCCTTAATCTGTCGCCTATTTATTCTTTCCCAATATGTAAATCAGTTGTTAGTATCCAGCAGTAGTTTGGGATCTTGGGACTGTGCTGTGCAGCCATGCCCTGTGCATGGCTGCTGGAGAGACACTCTGAGCGTGGGGAGATTTGTAGTTGATATTGACCTTCCCGTGTGGATAGGAGAGTCTTCTTTACGTTCAAGACCATAGGTCTGTTTTCTTTTATGAAAGTAGTTGGATCCTAAAACCAATTTTCCTAATGACATGAAGCCCCAAATAAGCCAGTTTTTTCACCTACCCTTCTTGAGAACACCAGTGCTACCAGGAAATAGTACTTGAGAAGGAGGTTCTCAAAAGATTTTGGTTCTGGTTTTAAAGTGCTAGGGAGTAGATTTCCTGAGGGAGGTCTCCATGCAGAGAAGATGAAGTTCAGTTGATTCTCAGCTTCATAATACACTGTTTGTTCTCTTTAGGGCTTTTGAAACTAGGTCATGTGTTTGTATTCTCCTGTCTGTTGTTACTGCTGTGAGTAGGTAATGTAGTCAGCGAATGTAGATAGAAATATTACCAGCTTTATGTTACATGGAACTATTAATACCTTTGGGATTGCAGATCCTTCTGAGTACAGTTATCTTATTTACACATCTACAGATTTCTCTTTCTAGCCATAGATTCCTTATTTGTTTGTTTTCCTTTCTGCATTAGGAGCTGCAACCATTAAGTTGTAATAGAAATATAGGTCATGTTAAGTATTGAAACATTGTGCTTTATTATGTTGCTAGTTTCTCCTGGCCGTTTCTCTTTCTTTTATAAATAACATTAAGATTTACAGTTGACAAGAGAATTGATGTTGTTTTTATAAAGTAACTTTTTATTTTCAGAAAAACAGCTGTGGTGTCACTTACTAGAAGAACACAGCACTGTGTTTTGATGACTTTAAACTTTCTCAGGTTAACCATGGGGTCCATTAAAAATAGCAGGTTGTGTATTTTGTTACCTCTGGTATCTTTGGTGTGGTCTGGTAATTCTGTTTGTAAGTGAGTAATATTTATGCTTGAAGCTAAGGGTTTTAATTTAAATCGTGTTTCATAATGATGCAATCATGCAGAGCACGTGCCCAGAGGTATCAAAACTGTTGAGATGCAAATCAAGCAGGTTTTGCCAAGTGGCTCTCAGCCTGACTTCACCTTCCTAATTTGTTTTCAGCATATGCATCCTGTATTCTGATTACAAGTTGAAGAAAAACCTTGCTTGCAGCAGAAATATGTACAGGCACAAACAGTTTTGAGAAGTTTGTATAATGTAAAGGGGAAAAGAAATGCAAGCTGGTTTGTGTTTTAATATCTTATATTTGGCCTCAGTGAAGGAATTCATGTCTCAGGACATGGAGGAGAAAAGGCTATAGTTAACATATGTCCCAGAGTAGCAGTTCCTACAGAATTGTTATAATTTGTAATAAAGCATCTACAGTACCTTTTCTCTATCTATTAGTGTCTTGGAAAGACTAATAAAGTTATTGATGTTACTGTTATATTCATTTTACTGAATGGGAAAAGGAGGGACAGGATTTCCTAACACTGTTATAAAGAACCTTGTGTTCCTCCTCTAGCTGCTAGCCCAGTGCTTGCAATAGATTGGCCATGTATCATTTCCCTCTCTTCTGGCTCATGAGTTGCAGGCCTATCTAACCCTTTCTTCTTGAAAATAGAGCATTTTGGGTTCAGACTCTTCCTTTCTCTTCCAGGTGTCATTTTTGCACCTTATGGCCCTGTCTGGAAGCAACAGAGGAAATTTTCTCTCTCAACACTGCGGCATTTTGGAGTAGGAAGAAACAGCTTAGAGCCTAAAATCATCGAGGAGCTGAAGTTTATAAAGGAGGAAATGCTGAAGCATGGAAAGGATTCGTTTAATCCCTTTCCGATCATTCGCAACGCAGTGTCCAATGTTATCTGTTCCATGGCCTTTGGCAGGCGTTTTAACTACGAGGATGATGAGTTCAAGACGATGCTGAAGAACATGGCCCGTGCGCTAGAGCTGAGCGTGAACAGTTACATGATCCTGGTCAATATCTGCCCTTGGCTGTACTACCTGCCCTTTGGGCCTTTCCGGGAACTTAGGAAAACAGAATTAGATATTACTGCTTTCCTCAAGAAAATCATTGCGCAGCACAGGGATACACTGGATGCAGCAAATCCCAGGGACTTCATTGATATGTACTTCATCCACGCAGAAGAAGAAAAGAACAACAAGGAGAGCAGTTTTAATGAAGATTACCTGTTTTTTATTATCGGTGACCTCTTCATCGCAGGCACAGACACAACTTCTAACACATTACTATGGTGCCTGCTCTACATGTCTCTCTACCCTGAAGTACAAGGTAGGACTGTTTGTTTTCTAGGTCTTTTATTCCAGACTGTAAAGTTCTAGATGGATGTTCAGAAACAGTGACAGTAGAGAAGTAATTTGGAGTGCAAGTAGTACATGTGTATGTGTAATTTGAAAGGCTGATGTGTGATCAGACATTTCCTTTTCTGCTCTGCTGTGATGACCTCCAGGTTAGTGTTACATGTATTTTATGTAAATGTCTCTTCAGTCCATGCATTTCTTCTGGTTTGGGACAACTTTACCCCTCCTGAGAAATTCCAGAGAACCTTTGCATGTTACAAAAGCTTTGGCAGTTGTGACATTCCAGGCCTATAGTAGTGATATAAGATATATGAAATACACAGCAGTTAAGGTCTGCTTTTATGCTTCCCTGAGCAGGGAGGGTCTTGAGCCTAGTGGCAGAGTCTGGGGAAGTAAAACACTACCCACTGCACAGGAAGATCAAATTAGAGACAACTTAAGCAAACTGGACTTACACAAGTCCACCATGCCAGATGATCAGTGTCATTGCAAAGCCTCTCCCCGTCAGTCTTGAGCAGTCATGGCAAGTGGGTCGGTTGCTGATGATAGGGAGGAAAAAGACACACAGAGCCCCTGCTCCCAAAGGGGGAACAGGAAGAACCGGGCTTGTTCAGTGTTAAGGAAAGATGACTGAGGGGAGACCTTATGCTGTCTACAGCTACCTCATGTCTCCTCTGAGGTGTGCAGGGGAATCATAGAATCATAGAATTGCTGAGGCTGGAAAA